TTTGCTGCTGCATTCCTCGGCAATCCGTTTTCATGAGCTGACATTGTCGGCACGAAAGTACGCACTTCTCAACGTCCATTTTCATTCCCGGCCAATACGCGCGTTGTTTCAGTAGATCGTAGGTCCTGGAACAACCTGTGTGCGCCATCTCGTGACAAGAAACTACTAGATTCCGTCTTCGTTTCATTGGAATGACTGGCACCGAAGGGTTGCTACCTCCTGGCATCCACATTAAGATCCCTGCTTCGTTCACTTGCAGCTTTCCCAGGTCTTTTGCAAACGGTCCCAGCTGCTTGAGTTGGTTTTTGTTGAAGTTTGTCTGACCAGTTAATCGCACGGTGATCAACTTGCGTAGGAGTTTGTCGCTACGTTGCTCGGTTGCCAACCGTTCTGGATCCTGCTCGCACAGTATACCGTTAATACCGAAAGCTACGCTCGGCAAGTCATCCTCATCTATCATGCGTGACAAAAAATCCGCCGTCTGATTTTCCCTCCCCGGCACGTGTTTTATCGTGAAATCATACTCTTGTAAGCGCAATGCCCATCTCGCCACTTTTCCTCTGGGGTCTTTGGCAGACTTAATCCACTCTAACGGTCTATGGTCTGTTTCGACGTGAAATCGCTGACCCAGGAGATATGGTCGCCATTTATCTAACGCCCAGACAATTGCGAGACATTCTTTCTCTATGGTTGAGTATCTGCGTTCCGCAGGCGTCAAAGTTCGGCCGGCATATTCGATCGTCCCATGGTTTTGTTTCAACACCGCACCGATCCCGACATCGCTGGCGTCAGTGGCTACCGTGAACATCTCACCAGCGATGGGCAATTTCAGGGTCAACTCCTGCCTTCCCATTTCCTGTAGAATCTGATCAAAGGCTCGTTGAGCTTCTGCATTCCACGTGAATTTCCTATCTTGTTTCAACAGCTCGTACAAGGGTGAGGCCAATGTGTTAAAATCCTTGACGAATTTGCTGTAGTACCCGGCGCGGCCCAGGAATGT